TTCCTGCTGTTGTTGTCCTTAGAAGGATAAATAGGGCTGCATCTCGCTAGCAAGTTGCTCCAAATACGTTAGATGAAAGAATAAATAACATGATGTACCGAAGGCTATGAAGACTAAATATATTATATCGAGACAGTCAAGCAAAGGATGTGATAATGTGCTATTCATTACACAGGTGCACCAGTGCTCGCTACAGGATAAAATTAGATTGACTCATCTGTAGGTCATGTACCTTCTACGGCTCAGAATTGGCAGCGATTTTCTCCTGTCTGTGCTGGTAGAGCACTGAAACAGGAGCCCACCAGTCACAGCCCTGCACTCCGGATGAAGGTTTCCATGATCGCGCTGTATTGCGCAGCGTAAGGCACGAAGGATCCTGGTCATCACGGCTTTGGTATCGCGTCTGAAGACGTCTTTTCCATTTCCACTTTTTAAAAGCCGTAGGTTTCTCTTTCCCCTCCTCTCAAAGAAGAAGATAGAACATGTGTGACGTGCAAAAAGATATGAAACACATGGTGCCTGACGGACAGGTTGGTATGTCAAGCCTTATCCAGGTTATTGGCTGGCGACCATCATCTGAAGGTACGTTCAGCGATGCCGAGTGACTCTCTGAAGTGCTGGTACTTTGATAGGCAAAACCACCTCGCACAAACGATCGCTGTTTGCTGTCGCAGCAACTCGTGCTGGGTTTTCAGCCGGCAGGACAGGCTGAATGCTCCGTGTGGCGTTTCCTATTTTCCTCGATACCCGCATCCCCACTCTGCCAGCTCACAGCCACTGTTCTTGAGACGCTTCTGCCACACAACCTAGCTATAAAATGCCTTGTGGTCCACAGAACATATGCCTTAAGTACTTTTCTCTTTGCAAGGGAATTTGCTGTCTGAAGCTGCCTTTATAGCCACCCGCCCCTACTGTTATTTCCATTAGAAGGCTGGAAGCCTACTCTTGCATAATCGTGCAGTCTAGAAGATCTCGAAATGATTTCTGATGGTAAAGAAAAAAAAGGTGCAGCTGTAGACAAGAAGAGGTAGGAAATGTCTCTTATGCTTCATGAGGGAAACAGAGATGCAAGATGCAAAATTCCATGGAAACTCACTTGTGTGTCCTTAAGTCCTTCTGTCCCCCAGAGACAGGGATCAAAAAGAGCCTGCGATGCCATTTTGGCTGCCTGGGTGATGTCTCTGGACAGCTCATCTGCAGGAAGGGATCTTGAACGGGTACCCTCTGGGTATAACTGCTGGCTGGTCCCTCCCCGGGTGACAATTGCTTCCCCTTCTGCATTTTAAGATGGCTCAGTATATAAACTTTAAAAGAAAAATCCGGTCACGTCTTGTGATACCTCGTGGTATCACACAAAAACACAAAAAGACTTTGATTTTGGCACTGTTCAGCTGTTAGCAGCCCGAGAGTGCCCTTCGGTGACTCAGATTTGCCCTTCCAAGGCGGCCCGCGGCGCCGGCAGGAGCTAAAGCCGGTGCTCGGAGGGTGCCCGAGCCACTCACCCGATGGCAGCACGCAGGCTCTGCCTCTAAACCGGGCTCACCCACCGCCC